CCCACCGGGCAGCTTGGGATTCCAGCCTCGACACGCTCATCGCATTCATCTTCCCTCCCATCACCCAGTGCCTGGATGGGATTGACTATGATGACTTCAGTTTCGGCTCCCACATGGTGGAACAGAAGGAGCCCCTGATGGAGACGGGTAAGGGCCCCTCTGGCTGTACCCTCCCGGGGGTCCCCAGCTGCAGCGGGGTTTCCCAGCAAGCTGACTCACACCTCGTAGTTTCCATCAGCACTGCGGGCTGTGTCCCCACTGGCCCCACTGTGGGCTGGCTGGGAATCCCTGCCCCGTGTCACTGGGACAAGGACTGTTTTGTGTGGCCCCGCTGCTCAGTCTACCAGAGACTTGAGATGACAGATCCCCAGGGGCTCCCCCTTCTCTGGGAGCCAGAGCATCCTCTAGCCCTTCCCTCTTCTCCCTGCTGCTGTGACTGCTGCTCCCAGCTGGGTTCTGACAGCACAAGGGCTGGGGGCCCTGAGGCCTCACATGGGACGGGCTGGGGTCACCTTGCCTTCAGCACCATCGCCATACCTCTGCCATCCTTACTGGGAGCATGCACTTTGGCTATCCCGTGTTTCTCACCGGTGCCTCTCCTCTCTGTCCTCCAGTGGAAGGTCCCTACCTTGTCATCATTGAGCAGCCAAAGCAGGTAAGGATGTCACTTAGGTAAGGGCGGGTGTAGCTGTCCCCCCCCTGCTCTGGTGGCATCAGGTTTGGCTGACCTCCTCTTTGCCTCTGCAGCGGGGGTTCCGGTTTCGGTATGGCTGCGAGGGCCCTTCGCACGGGGGGCTGCCCGGAGCATCCAGCGAGAAGGGGCGCAAGACGTACCCCACCGTCAAGGTGAGCTCTGTCCTGGGGAGGGCTGGTGGACACGGGCACAGGGAGGGCGCCTTGGAGGAAGGACAGGGAATGTGTATTGGCTTGGTGCGTCTCTTGGCGCTGGAGGGACAGAAGGACTGTGGCAGGAGGGGGGGTGGCCATGGGGACTGACCGCAGGAGTTTGTGCAGAGTCCTGCGTGCTCCCGGGTGTTGTCCCTGACTCCCATCTCCTTTCTCCTGCAGATCTGCAACTACACAGGGATGGCCCGGATCGAGGTGGACCTGGTGACGCACAGCGACCCTCCCCGCGTGCATGCCCACAGCCTCGTGGGCAAGCAGTGCAACGAGGCTGGAAACTGCATTGCAATCGTGGGACCCAAGGACATGACGGCTCAGTATGTATGAGGGAGACCTGGGGTGGCCTCCTGCTTCCGAGGGGTGGGTGTGGGGATGGCTGCAGCTTACAGACTGGTGAGAGGGGGCATTAGTGCATCCAGGAGCTGGGTTTGCTGAATGGGGCCAGGATTTGGTTTAGACAAGGTCATTGGTATACCTCTGTCCCCTGAGGAGCTTTGGTTCTGCCACATGCACCTTGCTTTGGGCATCTGTCCTCAGGGTTGCAGCTCCCCAGCTGTGCAGGTGACTTCTGTAGCCAGCCCGAGTCACCAGGCTATTTGGGAACTGCTGCAGTTGTTCTTATGAATCTAGCCCTAGCTGCTGGCTCAGCCTGGTCCTGTTTGCTTCCAGCCTTCCTGGTCTCCCTTTTGGACCTGTCACCTGTGGGAGCCTGGAGTTTCCCAGCCACCTCTAGTCTGGGCTCCTTTCCTTTCCTCTGTGGTTGCTTCTTTCATGTCCCGCACATGTTGACCCCCTGCTGCCTTAGCAGCACTGCTCTGTGCTTTGCTCAGCTCCTTCCCGGTCATGGGAGCCCATGTGCCCCCAAGGCAGGCTGCTTCCAGCCCTGGCGCTCCCAGATCCCTGTGGGATCTCACTTCTCCTCCAGGTTCAGCAACCTGGGTGTGCTCCATGTCACCAAGAAGAATATGATGGAGATCATGAAGGAAAAGCTGAAGCAGCAGAAGATGCGCACCAGAAGCCATCTGCTGACAGGTGAGGGCAGCCTGTAGACTCAGCACCCCAGGGTGACGGCTAGGGGACTGGGGTTACCATGGGGCTCAGGGCAAGGGGGAGCTGGCAGGGGGACTTGGACCCCCATCCCTTCGCCTAGCCTGATGGTGTCTCCCCCTGCCCTGACAGAAGCAGAGCTGCGTGAGATTGAGCTAGAGGCAAAGGAGCTGAAGAAGGTGATGGACCTCAGCATCGTGCGGTTGCGCTTCACCGCCTACCTCCGTGACAGCAGTGGGAACTTCACGCTGGCCCTCCAACCTGTGATCTCAGACCCCATCCATGACAGCAGTGAGTGTGGGGCCAGGTCGGGGAGGGGATGAGGTGGGACGGGGTAAGGGGGTGAAGGAGGGTCTGTCTGCCACAGCGGCTCCCAGTGCCTCCTCTTGCTCTGCAGAGTCCCCAGGAGCTTCCAACCTGAAGATCTCACGGATGGATAAGACGGCAGGCTCTGTGCGGGGAGGGGATGAGGTCTACTTGCTGTGTGATAAAGTTCAGAAAGGTAAAAGCTGTTCCTTCCAGCTGAAACCTTTGGAAGGGGCTGCAGCAGGAAAGATTTGAGGGCCCTGGGCAGCCCCGGCAGGCATGGAGATACAGGTGGTGCCAGCGCCCCTTCTCTCCCCAGATGACATCGAGGTGCGTTTCTATGAGGATGATGAGAACGGCTGGCAGGCCTTTGGGGACTTCTCCCCCACTGACGTACACAAGCAGGTATGGAGGAGAGAGGGGATGTCCTACCATGCCCTAAGGCAGGAAGGGTGCAGG